TCATACACTCTTCTCAACCTCGCTCTGTTCCTTGGCAGAAGGGGTCTTGTCCTGGCTGCCATCAGGGGGTGCCGGCTTGGCTGCAGGGCTAGGGCTGCTGCTGGTGGATGGCAGGAGGTTGGCTGACTGCAGGACGGCTTCTGAGTGCTCACGAGCCTTCATGCGCAAGGCGGCCACACTGGCTGTGCGGTTACTCTGGCAGCCATAGGTGGGGAGAAAGGAGAGCCCCATGGGATCTGGGACACAGCAAGAACACAGCGGGCCCCCTGGAAGGAGGAAAAACAACAGGCTGCCATCACTGCCCACATTCTGACCCCAGGACTTGGGTTGGGGCAAAGAACTGATCAATACTGCTTGGTTCTGGGCACTAAAGGGAGGGTTGACAAATGCTCAGGACCCCAAAGGTACACAACTCAAGAGATCCAGTTGATAATCCAAAGGATTATCAGAGCAGTGGAGAGAACTGGACAGTCCTGATTCCCTTACCAATCAGCTGTATGGCCTTAGGCCAATATCTTGGCTTCCCTGAGCGTTAACTTCTACTTCCATAAAATGAAATGATACCTACCTCGCAGGATCATTATGAGAATCTAATGAAATAATCTCACAATCCCCAAACTATGTGCCAAACTCACAGGGAGAGTTTAAATATTTGAAGTCAAGGGAAATTCAGCTACATCTGTCAAATGCCATACATGATGCTAGCTAGAGGCAGCTGATAGCTTTAACACAAGGTCACACTGAACTCCTTTCAAGGACATTATATTTTTGTGAAGCTGAATTTACCTGTGTTTTGCAAACACCACACAAAAACCCACATAGAACATAAAATGAGCATGGTGGCATCCAATATGATTCCAAGATCACAGAAGCTATGCAGAGACTATCAGGAACACACCCCATTAGAAGATCATGGTAGCTACTTATGAATGAAAGAAAAATATTATTCTTCTTTTAATTTATAAATATAAGTCTTCCAATGGCTACTAACCTGTTGGGACATAAACACTTATTGAGTTGCTTGGACTTAACCATTTAATGAACAGAACCATTGAATATTTCTTATGACCCAAGAGTGTCCTGAAAATTTAAGTGAGAACCTCAAGGCACTGTGAACTGAGGATTGAGAACCTCTGAAGGACTGGGTTGGCAAGCACTTAGCACAGGTCTGATGTGTGTAATGGGCCTTCGGAACAATTACCTGGCCCGAGCCTGCCAGACAGCCCTGAGTGAGCCATTCCAGGAACAGGGACAGGATGGCCCTCTGCCATGCTCAGGTTGAGGAGCCTCCCTCTTCATGGGTCATCCTCAGGCATGCATGTATTCAGCAACTATACCATGAGCACCTGGGGCCTTGTCCTTGCACTGTTTTCGGCCCTAGTGATAAG